CCATCAGAAACCATGGAATTCAAAAACCGTACAGAAATAGTAAAACAAAACACAAAACAACACAACAATGTCCATGGTTTCGTCAGAGGGCGAGGTACTACCCGGTTGCCCAAGCCGAAGTAGGGTGTTGACTTAGGGGACACCACCCCGAGTCTTTGGCTGAATAGCCTGCACGCAAGTCAGCGGAGCGGATTCAGGGAATCGCGGCCATTGGGTGCCCGTGACTGATTGCTCAGTTCATACGACTTTCGCTTGTTTCTTTGTCAAACAGGGGCCTAATGCTTCCCAAAATTGCAGCAAAGTTGCTGGAATAAAATACTTCCCCAGGATGAAGTAAGCAGCAGTGACTATTTAGTGGCGATTCACGTCCGCCAGGTCGCAGTGTTGTTTAACGGACATATGTGGCCTTTTATAGGGAGAACGCTTGCCAGGCGAAAACCCACCACGTCCTGGAACACTGCCGCCGAACCATTTGCTGGAACGGGAAAATCCCGAACCACCCAGCTGGCACCACGAGGAGGTTGTTCGGCAAGCCAGTTTGCTCGTTAGTAACTTCATTTCCCGCTGTCAAGTCAAATTCTGTTCACCTCAAGCCCTGCGCCACCCTACACCTGGTAGACTAAACAATACCCTCCTAGGTAAGCGGTGACCAGGTATACGTAGCACGTATGCGAGCCAACGCAACTTATTCAGTGACATCTGTTGTTCTAGGGAAATAGCATGATTATCACCATCTAGTACTCGCCTACGCATATCATCACTGCGGACACGCTGGTGTCATCCGACACCAGCAATGCTTCGCAAACAACCATGATCAAAGACTTGAAGGCGCCTCAGATCTTCAGACCGAAGGGACTAAGTCTCACTACCATAGAGCAGAACGGCTCTCACTGTGGCCTTGTATACACGGACTTTCAGACGGAGGGAAACTCCCTTCTGTCGCCAAAGATGACGCAGGTTCAAGAAGGCAGCTCTGGCTTTTGCGATGCGTGAGCTCACGTCAGTTTCTATGCGCCCATCATTGCTGATGCAGTTGCCAAGATAAGTGAATCGATCAACCACCTCGAGTTCCTCGTTAGCGAGGGTCCAGGGGTCATAAAGTGGCTGGTGGTGGCTGGTGAGACGCGCATACCTAATAATGGGACCACTCGAGACAGGCAATTCAGGGTTGATTGTGTCGCCCCAACATCGTCGAAAAGCAAGAGGATATCGTCCCCACAATCAAGATCAACCAATGTTTCACCAGACAGGACCTCAACGCCTACATCGTGAGATCCCGCAAGGGAACACTATATGATAGAATCCAAGACGAAATTAAATGAAAACGGGAAATCGGACAACCATGACGAACGCCACTTGTGGTCGGAAAGCTATCCGATAGGCCACCGTAGACCCTGACGCGGCCTGTATTGTTCGAGGATAGAGCAAGTATGATGTTCACATATTTCGTGGGAATACCTTTCCACCCAAGTATGTCGAACAGAATGTATCGATGGGCGAAAACGAATGCACTCTTGAAATCGACGAACACAGCTATTGTCGGTCTGCAGGACGCGTGGTGCTGCTCTAGCACCTGCGGCGAAGTGAACATATGGTCTATACAGCCATGTCCTGGGCGGAAACCTGCCCGCTCTTCCCTAATCCGAGATTCCCGTTCTGCAGTGAGGAGACGAACGAGAATCGAGGCCAGTAATTTTGTTACAACTGGTAATAGGCTAATACCCCTGTGGTTAAAACAGTCTGTGCGACTGCCCTTCTTGTATATCGCCACCACAACCGATTCGCTCCAATTAGCCGGGACACTCTCTTACTTCCAGATAGGTTCGAATAGGGAGGTGAGTGCTTTGCAGAGGAGATCACCTCCATCTTTAAATAGTACATGAGTGAGGGAATCCGAGTCAGTGGCACGAAAACGATTATGGGCTGTGATCGCGTTTCGGACCTCGGCTTCCGACGGAGGCTCTAAACTAAACGTCCACGGCTCCTCCTGCATCACCTGAGTAGGAATAGGTCCGGGAGCAGGGGCCAGCTGAACTGAGCTTGAAAGTGTTCCGTGCAAAAGCCAGAGCAACCTTCTTGAACCTGCGGCATCTTTGGCGACAGAAGGGAGTTTCCCTTCGTCTGAAAGGCCGGGTATACAAGGCCACAGTGAGAGCCGTTCTGCTCTATGGTAGTGAGACTTGGCCTCTTCGGTCTGAAGATCTGAGGCGCCTTCAAGTCTTTGATCATCGTTGTCTGCGAAGCATTGTTGGTGTCGGATGGCACCAGCGTGTCCGCAACGACGATGTGCGTAGGCGAGTACTAGGTGATGATAATCATGCTGGCTCCATAGAACAACAGATAGCACTGAATAAGTTGCGTTGGCTCGGGCACGTGCTATGCATGCCTGGTCACCGCTTACCTAGGAGGGCTTTGTTTAGTCTGCCAGGTGTAGGATGGCGCAAGACTCGCAGTGGACAGAAGTTGACTTGGCAGCGGGAAATGAAGTCGCTGACGACGGACTGGGTGCTGTTGGTCCGTCTCGCCTTCCGGGCTGGAGTCCACGTGACTCGCCTTGTGTCTCGCCGATGCCGCTTTATCTTTGCATGATAGCCAGCTGTTTGTGACGGTAAGTTGTCTACACAAGGTGTAGGCGCCTTGACCCTGAATGTTTGCTTAAGGCATTAAGGTTTTCAGGTAAGTCCCCCTTCTCTCCCTCTTCTTATTCTTTATTTCATAGGTCCTCATGGTTGTATGGCAGCGAAGCATCAGTTCAAATGGCTGATGTACTGCTGTTGATGATGATGATGATGTATCACTGCACCCGAGCTGTCTCTGACTGTCACACTGACGCCTGATTTTCTGGGACCAGTGGTGCGGATCAGCTGGAAGAGCTTGCGGTACTTCCCGACTGCACGCGCCTCCTCCATTTCTTGAGCCCCACTGGTCCACCAACCTTCCTTGTCAGTACGCAGGCTCCGCATTAGTTCGCGCCTAATAGCCCGTCTGGTCACATTGTGCTCAGAGCTAGCCAGGTTCACCGACCTCTCAGATATCCAGTGACTGGTGCGATGACGACTGATTGTGTCACAAGCAGATGCTCCTTCTGCATGACGGTCAAGATTCTATTCCACTGAAGCTCAGTGTCATTAGAACAAGACAAGGTAAGTTCGGTATGCAGTGCGTTTTGATAAGCTTGCCTGAACGAGGGCTGAGACAATTTCTCAGTTGCCATTTGGAGGAGACGCTTGGTGCGCCTTCCGGTAAAGTTCATGGAGAAACGACAGTGTACCAAGATATGATCAGAGTCGATGCAAGTGCTCCAGTACGAGCGGAAATGAAGGATGAAAGCACGCCATTTGTAACTTATGTCAATGTGATCAATTTGGGTCCATCGCTGGCCAGCTACAGGTGGACGCCAAGTGGCACGCCGGCGTCCACTGTGTCGAAAAGCAGTGTTACTAAGAAACAACTGGTGCTCCGCACGCAGTTGCAGCAGACGCTCGCCGTTGTCAGTCCGTTCAGAGTTAAGCCCATAATTACCACCCAGCTGAGCTTCTGAAGAGCTCATACGCCCTACTTGTGCGTTCATATCCCCTGCAAGTACTGTGATATCTGAACTAGTAGCAATGCGTAGGAGCGCGTTCAATTCGTGATAGAATGTGTTCTTGACAGCATGTGAACTGCAGTCAGTGGGACCATAAGCGGAAATAACAAACAAACAGCGTTTGTACTACTTCGTGAATCAACCTTAGCTGATGTCAAACGGGTTGCCCCTTAGAGCTGAGAATGATACCTACACCAGCTTGACCCGTGAGTGCTGCATCGGCGTTTCCGGATGCGTGAAACCAATAAAGAGAGGATAAGCCGGGTGCAGTTAATTCAACAACCCCATTAGGGTCATCGATCCTAGTTTCTGACACACAACACACATCAATACCCAGTGTGTCCAATGTGCGTGCGAATGCAGCCTGTTGACCTATTTGTATTAGGGTGCGAATGTTGAACGTCGCCATGGTACCGGAACAGCGTGGCTTCATAAGGGACCGTTGCCGATAGGCGTCCGATGGGTGTCGCGGGGTGGTTCTACACCAGTGGCACTTCGGTTGCTGCTAATTAAGCTGGGAATTAAAGAAGGAAAGTGAGTAATTGGGGTCGGGATGGGAGTGAGATAAACAGATGGAAAAGAAAGAAGGGAGGCGCCAGCAGTAGCATGTTTCCGCTTATCCGCCCTGCTGTATGCGGCAGATAAGGCGACCCTTGATAAGCTGCGCTACGGCCGATGCAGGATGAAGTTTATGTTGTCGAAGAAACAGGGAATTGGGGGTCGGGAGGAGAGTAAGAGAAACAGATGGAAAAGGAAGAAGGGAGGCGCCAGTAGTAGCATGATTTTGTATATCCTCCCTGTAGCAGATAAGGCGGACCTTGGTAAGGTGCGCGAGGGGCGATGCATGGTGTGATTAGAGCTTGAGGAAATCCATCTAGGTAGCTCTCCTATAAACTGTCTATTTGACCTTGTTAGTTGCTTGTATGTACTGCCCGCCGGGTGTTAAATACAAGCTTTTCCAGAGGCCTTGTTTCCTGGTCTGGGAAGTCGGCCGGTCCAGATTGCACAACAGCATCAGGTTATCCGCAAGATCAGCGAAAATTACAACAAAATGGTGTGTTACTGGACCCTGCAGTTCAAAACGTTGGACCGGAAACAGGGTTATCAGACGTCCAAGTTATTCATGCAGGTAGTTGGCAATGACCGACACATTGGATTCGCGAATATTAGTATAAGGGAAATAGTTTCGCTGCAGGACAAGGTTACAGTAGTACACTAGAACCCAGTAACGACGATTTACGCCACGCAATTATCCGTGGTCACATACAGATATGGATACTACGAAGTTTCTGACGCCGAATACACATGGTCTATGCCGCCATCCCTCGAACCTTTAGCACAATATAAATCAAGAACTTCACCTGGGCCACAAGAATAGGCGGAGTGAAAACAGGAGAAAGACGGCACAACTTACCCTGGTAGCTTCCTTTTCATCCAGTTCCCCATTTTCCGAGTTTCCCACCGGCAATATAGACAGGTCATCCAAATAGCCTGAAATGAGATTACAGGACAGCCGATCCTCATCTGCGCCACCAGAGTTGGTGGTATCGTTTAGGCTATTCAATTCGGCCTCCCACTGTTTAACGAATTCCTCTGATGACCACAAACCAAGGCGACTGGATTTGGCAGTTTCCTCAGCCTTATCCAAATCGTGGTAGTAAGGACTGGCCTCGGTCGACGGCGCCCGATGAACAGTTGCGAATCCACGTGAGACTAACAGTACGCTTAAGTTGACCTTTGGTTTCACGGGAGCTTCGGAGGGCTTTTTCTTCTTTTTCTCATTTGATTTTGCGGGAGTGTTCGATGAGGTATCCACTGACGCGCCGTCAACAAAGAGCCAACCGACAAAGTTGCCAACTCTGTCCATTGTTTCTACCGTTACCTCCACGTCCCTCTGCATACATAATTCCTTGACAAAGATGTATGCCTCCGTACTGAAGGGCATACCAGGCTCTTCCGTCCCATCTGGCAATAATCTGACACATTTTTAGAGATAATGAAAGAAAAAAATTACCAAAAAACGTAAGAATACGGTGGTTACTGCATCATGCGTCATAGCTAATTTCCAAGGAATACCGTCTTTAAATCAAAAATGCAAATATGAAAAGAGCATAGATTTTGATTGTGCGCAGAAAAGAAGTACGTGTAGAAATGTACCTTCCCCTTCGTGGACACTGAATACCGCTTAAGAGTAAGGTGAGCAGGCAAGTGTCGCGAGGTAAGTATACGCGTAGGCGGCTGGCGTGAACCACAAATTCCACCACTGCGTCCGACTGAGGGGCTCTTTTCAAGAACGGAAGGAACTGTCGTGATTTCGCCAAGTTTCCTAAAGTGGGACGGAAAATAGGGTAACAAAAAACGCTGATAAACAAAGCGATAACATAAGAGACCAATACAGGGATGGTAATTTAACATTAAACAAAAAATCAGTACAGCATAAAAACAAAGCGCAGCACGTCAAGTTTACCGAATGGGTCTCGGCTCAAAGTATGCTTGATAAAATACCCATAACAGGATCTGACAGCTCTAGCTGTGTCAGCTGTACGCCGTAACGGCGCTTCGCTGAAGCGCGACCATCACCAGTCGCGCGCGGGCTGAGTATGTATGTATGTATATAATCTCAACAGTCTATCAACTAGACACAGAGCCAACAAAAAACCATGGAGATCAGCGGATGCGCAAGATTCATTGCGTCATAATCATCGTGGTATGCTAGTTGAAGCTGAGCAACACACTTCAACTAATATGCCGCAGGAAGAAAGGAAGCTTTTTCACATAAAGTAGAACGGATTCCACAAAATGCTATGTCGATTCATAGCTGCCGTAACCGGGAAGTCCTGACGCCGGAAGGCCGACTGCTGTCATCTGCATGGCAGGTGCCTGCATGGCAGAGGAGGATGCGTCGGGCTATATCGCATTTAGATAACAATTCATGATAGATACCGTCCTCCATGGCGCAGTTGCATAAGCTGCGGGCTAGTTGGCAAGAGCCACTAGCAGTCATGGGTTCGATCCTCCGCAGAGAACCGAAGGATGCGCACCACTGATGAGCCCCAATAGGGCGAAACGGCCGTCTGGTGCTTTTCCGGATAGCTGGTCGGTTGATTGCGACGAACAAAATACTCACCAAAATCCTTCCATTTTTAGTTTGTTTTTCACACGCCGCTTTTGCGTCTTTTGTCATTTTCAATGTTTTTAGTATTAAACATGTGAATCAATACAATACTGTACACAATTCTTCCACTGATCCCGGTTGCGGGCCCTATCTTCAAGAGTGCTAACCCATTGGTACTCCTCATCTTTGGGTCCCCATCCTGGAAGACGTACGGATCCAACAGCGGCTAGACACGACGTCAGCGATTTCATGTGCTGCCGCCAAGTGGAAGGCTGACCACCACGCGGTCGCCTCCAGCCAGGTCCTTGACAAGCGAATAGAGCGCGACGTGGTAGACGCTCAGGTGCCATGCGTAGGACGTGACCGAGCCATTTCAACTGGCGCAACAAAACCAGTTTGTTGAAGGGAATACTCGCATTCCCCAAGATGCGACGTCGAAGTTCATTACTATTAACTCGATGTTGCCACCAAACACGAGCGATCCTCTTTAAGCAACCGTTATCGAAGCAGAAAGACGACGCATGTCTTCCACGCGAATCGGCCAGGACTCGCACCCATACAACAATACTGAGAGAATTGATGCGTTGTAAACGCGGCACTTTAGTGAGAATGAGACGTCGCGACGACGCCACAAATGCCTCAGATTGACAAATGCTGATCGAGCTTTAGCGATATGAAGAGAAACTTCTTTGTTGATAGTGCCGTCAGCAGAAACAGCTTCCAAGGTAGACGAAACTATCTACCTGGTCAAGTTGTGCACCTTCAAGAGTACGTGAGCAGGTGAAAGCCAATCCTTGAGCGGTACTTTACACTTCGATGGGGTGAAGCTCATGTCATACTTAGATGCTTCAACCGCCAAACGATCCAGAATGGGTTGCATACTCTGAGGATCGTCACCAAGTAAGGCGATATCATCAGCATAATCTAAGTCGGTCGCGCGCTCACCCGGTAGAAGCTCTAAGTCAAAATGTTGGAAACCTTCTAGAGCATTCGACAGAACGTCTTCGATTGCGAAGTTGAAGAGGAATGGGGACACAGGGCAGTCCTGTCGCACACCGCTATTGACAGCGGATTGCGAGGAAAGCTTGCCATAGACCCTCACTCTGCCGGCTGTATGAAGGTAAAGTGTTCGTAAGATGGTGGTATATTTCTCTGGCACCCCGTTCTTTAATAAGTAACGCCATAAAGCAGGTCGATCAACGGAGTTAAAAGCGGAACGTATGTCTAGAAACACAATGATAGTGGGCCTGTGATAAATGTGGTGATGTTCGAGGAGCTGGCGGAGCGTGAAGATTTGATCCACGCCTCCGCGGCCAGGACGGAAACCAGCTTGTTCTTCACGGTAGTATGATTCACGTACTGGGGATAGCCTGCGAAGCAGAATGGATGCCAATAGCTTAGAGGCAACCGAAATAAGACTAATCCCGCGATGATTTGCACATGAAGTGCGAGCGCCTTTCTTGAAAATCGGGACAATAACTGATTCGCCCCAAGAGGAAGGCACTTTCTCTTCATGCCAAATTTTTCCGAACAGCGCAGTCAGCTGGTTAATGATCGCCACACCGCTGTACTTGAATAGCTCCGGAGAAAGTCCGTCTAAGCCGGCAGCCTTGAAGCGCTTCAAGCGTCGAATCTCAAGGCAGACTTCTGCTTCGCTGGGTGGATTCAGTGGGACGAGCCAGGGTGGACAACAACGTGTACTGCATGTACTGATGGATGGTGGAGGCCAGTGGAACTGCGAGTGAAAGTGCTCGGCCCAGCGGTCCATACGCCTCTGTTGGTTGGTGATCGGAGACTCATCCACCTCACAAATGACCTCACTGACACCAGGCTTCCTGAGGCCATTGGACCGAATGAGTTGGAAAAGCCTGCGAGTGTTGCCAGAGAGGGCAGCGGTCTCCATCTCTAAAGCACACTCAGACCACCATGTCTCGCGATCCTTGCGTAGGATTTGCTTGAGCAACCTGGTGGTAGAACGGCGCTTCTCGTTGAAATCTAATTCCGCGGAGATATCTTTGCGGCGTTCGAACAGCTCCAGAGAACGAGCAAAGATCCAAGCCTTCAAGGGGCGTCGAGTTAGGCCGCAGCATGACTGTCCGGAAATGGTTATTGCCTTCCGTATACAAGTCCAGTGTTGTTCCACTTCTTGCGGTGGATTGCAACTGAGTGCATATGCCAGTGAAGACTGATAGCTCGCCTGGACAGAGGAATCTGTTTACATCAATGTTGCGGTGCTTCGTGTTTCGAGATCCTCCAAAACACATACAGATTTTCGTGTAGACCAGAGCATGATCTGAGTCAACAAAGGTGGACCAAAAAGACCTGCAGTCTAGTAAGGTGCCGCGCCATCTGAAGCTAATTGCAATGTGATCAATTTGATACCACGGTTGTGTTGAAGGGGGACGCCACGTTGCGAAGCGCATCTTCGTACGCCTGAAGTTAGTGTTCGAAAGAAACAGACGGTTGTCTTCGCACAATGTGAGAAGTCTCTCTCCGTTATCAGAGCGGTTCTCATCGAGCGAATGACGACCACCAAGGTGGCGTTCGTATGGTAACAGGCGGCCGACCCGTGCATTAAAATCCCAGCAAGGATAACGACATCCGACTTTTTAGCATTAGTCAAGAGCTGTTGTAGATCCCGGTAGAATTCGACCTTGACCGAGTCGCCACTGCAGTCGGAGCGTACACGGAGATCAAAAACAAGTTGTCTCTCTTCGCGGTGCCTGTTGATTTTACATGAACCCCGAAGCCGAACTGCACATAGTCGGCTGTTAATAGGGAACCAGTCCAGTAGTGCCGCCTCGGCATTGTCACAATGCTATACCTACACCAGCCAGACCAGCTGAGGCTGCTTCCTGATCTCCAGAAAGACACAGGTGATATCTGGCTTCGTGGTCAGTGGGGGATGTCAAGGTAAGCACAGTGCTGGGATCTTGCAATCGGGTTTCTGAAAGGCAGCAGACATCAATGTCTAGGGAGTCTAGGGTGTGCGCTAGATCGGCTTGCTGTTCAATCTGCATGAGTGTCCGAACGTTGAAGCACGCCAGACGGAACGAGGATCGGGGACGAAGGAGAGCCATAGGTTGAACTCCTTGGTCTGCGGCGCAACCGGAACCGCAGCCAGATTGTTAACAAACAAACAATTGGCGTGTGATGAAATCGTGTGAAAGTGACTAGCAGAAACAGCAGCTGATGAGCAAGTTGTAATACAGTCCATGGTTTTGCGAGAGGGCGTGATACTATCCGGTTGCCCAAGCCGAAATAGGGAGTTGACTTAGGGGACTCCACCCCGAGCCTTTGGCTAAATAACCTATCCGCAAGGCAGCAAGGCGAATTTAGGGGATCGCGCCCATTGGGAGGTGCTGACTGAATGTTCAGTTCATGTGTCTTTGTTTGGTAGATTACCTAACAGGGGCCCAATACTCCCCATGAAGTCGGTACACCTGCTGGAATACAATGTCCCACCGTGGTGGAACATTGTCGCCGAACACTTTCCTGGTACGGAGTACACCCGAACCACCCATCTGGCACCACGAGGAGGTAGTTCGGCAAGCCAGCGTAGGGGTGGGCGTTCTCGCGGGCTGAGTATACCGCGAGGACGCCCACCCCTACGCGGATTCGAACCGGTGACCTTATGGTGGTAAACCAAACGCGCAGACCAATCGGCTACCGGCCGGCTGTGATAACTGGCGTCATTAGCGTGAAGTTAATCAGTGAAGTGGGTTTACAATGCAGCCGTCCGTTCAACCCTCCTGTACGGTTCCAAAACCTGACCCATCAAGTCGACAGACATAAAGATGGTAGTCACGTTCGATCATCGCTGGCTTCGTAGCTTAGCTCATGCTCGGCAGGAGCACCGCGTGAGCAATGTGCATGTTCGGCGTAGTGTATCTGGCTCAGGGAGATCGATTGAACCGCTTAGCACCTTTATTTCACGCACCAGGCTCCGATGGCTGAACTATGTGTTGGGCATGCCAGACTACCGACTCTCGAGTCGTGCGTTGTTTCCGCGCTCGGGGTGTGGATGAAAGAAAAGGAGGGGAAGCCAAGTGATAACTTGGTCAAAAGGAATGAAAACTTTCATCTCGAATTTGGCCTCGGTTGGTGTCTCCCGACTGCTCCACTTTAGTGTGAAGGACAAGAACACATCTGATTGAATATACTTGTTGACATGACAAGGAGCCAACCTCGATGGCGTTTGGATTGAATTTCGTTGTTTCTCCCTATACCAATTATCTTACCCCTCCAACCACGATGTGTGCCGTGAGGCATATTATGTTACTAAGCAGTATGTTACTCGTTGTCCTTTTTGCACTGCATAAGCAACTTTGCTTTTTCATATACCTTATCTCTTACATTGTTGCACAACAGTTTCCCGTGTTTCCCGTGCCTTCAGCGAATGTGAAATGATGATCATGAATCAGTGAGGACGAAAAAAATTGGTATGAACAGTACTGTGTATTACTGAGTATTGCTGGATGCGTGTTTGATTTAGCAGCGACATACCGGTTATTTGCTATTATCTAAAAAGTAGTATGAAACGTGGTGGTGGATACAGGACAGGCGTGCCGAGTGCTGCATCAGCTAGTTACCAGCGAGAAAAGTAGATTTTAGCATAGGTTGATAAGGAGAAGACAGAAACGCACCCGTCAAATCAACAACCCGATGTACGGGAACATCGCGCTTGTTAAACAGTCCCAGTCCATTGGTTTGAGCCAACTCCTCAGCGGCCAATAATTCCGTGTAGGCTACAGTTCGAGGGTCGTTAGCGTTGCGATAGCGGATGACATTTGCTAACCCTTTGCTGACAAGACATTCCGCCAAATTAGTGCTACCTGAGTGAATGGTCCCGCAAATTCGCTCATCTAGCGCATTTGCCGTCTTCGGTTGGATATAGTCCACGTGGACAGTGACCTGTAGAACAAATAATGAATCAGAACATCGTGCAGAAATCACAGGAAGATGTGTTAAATGATACTAAGCTGTACCGAAGGTCACAACAATTGCACTGGCAGTTAACCGGCATACTAAGACAGAAAAGATGTCAGAGGAATGTAGTCAAGCGGAAGGAGATATGATAAGTGTATAATATGGAGCGCAGTCAGTCATATCACTCGCCGAAGCCGTTACGCGTAAGGGTGCGTCTACAGATTATAAGGAGCATTTGTGTATGCGGTAACAAGACGCTTGTCCCAGATGTGGATTACTAGGAAGCAAAGATCCAGGTAGATAGCATGAAGTATTGGATACTGAGATACGAACGGAAATCAAGCAAGGAAATGGTTAAACATACTAGGTATTTTGCACGAATCGAAGTTCCATCCTCATTAGAAACCAAATATTGCACGAATTTACCCCGAAGTCAGAAATCGTCTGGCCGCACTAAGACTTTTGTATCGTCCAATCAGTAGAGACTCACACCTATCTTTTCCTCATTAATGCGGAACGCAGAGCAATTTCGCTGAAATTCATCCGAATAAAAACGGCCTTCTGTTGCTTACTTCACAGAAATCCAGTTGTTTCCCTACTCACAGGGTGGTGTATGATGACTCAATGTCACAAAAGTGTGTCCGATCCAAGCGGAGAAGCCATAGTCAAACAAGCATGAATGATGCGCCAATGACTGGTATGTGTAGAAGAAGTTGGTCAACGAGTCTCAACAAGGTTTCGAACTTGTCACCCACATACGAACCGTAGTTACATTTAAAAATATGAATAGTGCGAAAGATTTGAAATGTGTCGCAACGATTAACAATTTTACTGAAATTCTTCATTAGAGGCTACACATTTTGGAGGTGATAACGTTTCGCACAGATACATGTTTCCTCACTTACAAGTGTGAGCACAGCAGGCGAAATAGATTATATGTATTAGAAACAGGTAGATCAAGAGTGCGTAAACGAATCACTCGAGCATGCCAATTATGGAATACCAACATGGTTTCGACGATAACAAGCTAGGGTAGACGTTCAAAAGCAATAGCCTATCCAACACAAGTCCTAGTAGACTTGTCAAGATACACGCTCACAAATAGGGGGCAAAGAATGATAGATCAGCTTCCCAGATGAAACATCTGGTTTTAGCTGGCGGTTGTGATAGTCCACAGAGCATTCATCATCAGCAACATCGTTATACACGTCAGCTAGAGGTGGGAAACACCTCGGCTACTGTGCTGCAATACATAAATGAAAAAGGAAAATAAATACAAAAGTTGTATGCCAGCTGAGCTACCAGCAACGGATAGGCATCGTTCCGGTAAGCTACCAGTCAGCTACTAGGCAAAAAGAAAAATTATGTTTATGCTACGAAATGAGATCGTAGGTGGAGGGGGAGGCTAAAAGGGATGGGGAGGGACAGAGAAACTCACAGCACGAACGTCACTGAGGTCGGCTCCTTGCCATGTCAGCAAGTGTATCCAGCCAAACGTGTTCATCGTCTTTTGGACCCCAACCAGGGAGTTGTGACGCTCCAACCGAGGCCAGCACAGAAGTGAGGGCCTTCATTCCTCTCGACCAAGTCATCGCTTGGCCACCCCTCCTCTTCTTCCATCCACATCCCCGGTGAGCAAACAACGCACGTCGTGGAAGTCGGTGGGCTGGCATGCGTAACACGTGGCCCAGCCATCGGAACGTGGTGCGTGAAATGACGGTGCTGAGCGGTTCATTTCCTTTTCCTGTGCCGTAAACAAGGCGTTGAACACGCTCGTTACTCACGCGGTGTTCCCACCAGATGTGAGCCAAACTGCGAAGGCACCGATGGTCGAACGTAACCAGCCTCTTTATGTCCGCCGATCTTAGGGGCCAGGTTTCGCAACCGCACAGTAAGGTCGAACGTACCGCTGCATTGTACATAGCATTAGTACGCTCGAAAAAGCGGCCGTTGCATAAAAATCGAGTTCTTTAAATGTTGGTCCTAAATAGACAACTTCAAGCTCACATGCGAGAATGATTAGAAAGCGCCGTATCCCCAGTTAGACTGGAGTTAAGCGGTTAGTGTGCCTGAGCTGAACTGTGAAAAGACAGTTTCAGGTCAAACAACTATGATCAGGACACCGAAGTGCGGTGGATCCAGTTGCTTCGACTGATGTCGGCAGAATAAAGAACAATAGTGTAAAGGTGAGATTAAACGTAAACAAAAAATGGAATATAGAAAATAGTGCGCTAAACTGATACAGCTAGATGCAAGGATGCCACAAGTTGCGCGACTGTGATATATACGAAAAGGACTCCAACCAGAGATGCAAACCATGCTAAGGCCTCCATCCATAAAGATGACACGCATTAACCTGATCAGCCAAGTTCTTCATGCCACGTCATCGACCGGCCACTTAGCGTTTTCGCCCAACTCGGTGTAGTGACGGCGTATACTACACGCCGAGAAAGCCAGTCGACAGACAGACGCATATGACTCAGTCAACGTAAGCGGTTAAGGTTCAACACATTCCAGTGGGGAACAGAGGGTTTAGTGCCAGAAACCAACCGCCGCACCACAACATTGCCCACCTGTTGTTCCCACTAGATAAGAAAGATTCCGGAAGTACTGGTCACCAAACAAGGCGAATCATTGGGCGTCTTCATGGCGAATTTCTCAGGACAGTGAGCTATACAGTAACATCGGCCCCGTCGCAGTTATACACCCCACTTTCCACTAAAAGGCTGAAAGCCCGTCAAGTCGATAGAAGCTTAAGCTTCTGAGATGCTAAACGATTCTTGCTGATAGGCTGGAACGTCCTTAGTGATGTGACCACTGGGGGTGATACATCAATCTTAACTGAAACGATCTACAACTTTCACTGGATGTGCGCTGATAGCCAAACCCGATGGCGAACGGTCCATTCGCGCAACAATTTGTGCAAAGCACACACACAAGCGTGCAGCGCTACGCGTCACTCTGTCCAGTAGTGCTCGCAAAGCCACTGAATGAGACCCAAGGCGAGCAATGTCGTCCGCACAGTTGGTTGCTCGGCAGAACTTTCAATCCGGAACAGCCTGAAAGAACGAAGTCATTTACGATCACAAAGATATACGACAACTCTGGTGAACCCAACTAGTCGTGGGGAGCTAAGAAGACAGAACCCGTTGACCTTATTAAGTTTCTGAAGACACGGTAGAGTTCATAATGTATAGGAGTTTCCCTGGCACGCCATTCACGGATAGGGCCACAAATTGACACGACCAGCAGAGTAGAAGGTAGCTTACATGCAAGTGAAAACAACCATAGTCGGCTGTCTGTAGCTGTGTCTCTGTTCTTACACTTGACGAAGAGTATATATGCGATCTACGTAGCCAAAACAAGGACTTCCAGTGATTAGGTTTTTACGGAGACCGGTGAGTCGTCGAAAAATTATACCGTGAGAAATTTGGAGGCAACGGAACGAATGATAATGCCTCGATGGTTTTCGCACAAAGTCCAAAGAGTTTCCTTAAAGATTGGCACGACTGTTGAATGGAGTAGCAAATACAATCAACAGCAAAGATGGAACAGCTCAGTTACGGTGCAACAAGGCTAGCTCATGTAGAATCTCATCTAAAGTGGGAGTGACACCAACTACTTACGTGGGCTTAGGTGATTCGGTAAACGGTAGCGTCGCAACACGCCTGGTGAATTACTCTACAAAATGCTCCGCCCAACAGGATAGTCGATGCGGCCGAATGGATCAACTGTCTATCGTGCTCAGCTATCTTAGTAATCGAGTTATTTGGAACCCGTGTCCTGGGTAAGTCGTTGTTCTCAAAAGCACCGGCTCCCTACATCCAAGGGGCCATCGCATCTCAAAAACGTTCCTGGTCAATTCGAATACTTCTTGCCAGTTGTCGTCTCAGGGCGTTATAGATTACCTTCTCAATGACAAACAGCAGTACAACAGCCATTTGAATGGATGCTTCGCTGCCGTACAACAATAATGACCTACTGAACAAAGAGGGAAAAGGGGGGACTTAACGTAAAAGCTTAGTTTCCTATGCAAACATTATGAATCAAGGCGCCTAGGCCCTGTCAACAACACATGGTCACAAACAACTGGCTGTCCTGAAAGATAAGGAGGCATCGGCGAAACAGTTTCCTAATGGCCTTCACTGTCCTACCGCATAATCAACCATTACCCCGCAGATAACTCAGCAGCAAACCCACTTTAAACAAGCAATCCGGCTTGAAGATAGCAAACGCACCACTGGTGCCGACTGCAAGCGATGTCCTGTAACGTCTCGAGGAAAGCACAAGGCGGGTCGCTCGAACCCTAGCCTGGGAGGCGAGATGGACCAGCAGCACCTAGTTTGGTCGTCGATGACTTCATTTCCGAGTTAACTTTTTCTCACCAAGTCTTGCGCCACACTACATCCGGAAAACTCTGTACCCAACATAGCCTGTTTCTGCGCCACGAACGGAATGATCAATACCCTAGAGACCCATTCACAGTTCGAATACTGAATAATGTATACGGGAGCAAGTGGGAATTTAAATCTGTCCAACTACATCGCAATAAATATCAGAATGTAATAAAAAGTGTCCGCAATACATGATAATTTAATAGTTTTTTTCAAATTCGTATGTAGCATATTAAAAGGTCTAACTTACAGTTTCACTGGGTTCACAAATGCAATATGTTACTGATAGTGTGCAATCGCCCCGTGAATCGAAAGGCGGTGAAACGTAAATCCAACAAAATTTTGAACTGCTGTACAGATGTAGCCTCCACGACTGGTTCTGGTAGACTGATGAAAACATTTATCACTCTCCTTCTGAAGCACAGGGGGTGAGGTAATCGGTTTACATCTAACACCACAAGCTTGTACCGGCAGTTTAGACAAGTCTATGGAACAATCCGGCCAATATTCGGCTCACTAACCGCAATCACTACCGGCAACTGGTGAGCCATTCCGTCATGATATTGTTGAACTGCGAGCTGCAGGTTCAGT